AAAAATACCCGTGTACGTGTGGACGTAGCCTCAGTTTAAAAAAAAAAATCACCCCACTCAGAGTTTTTATGAGGGGCGAAACTATGCAAGAGAGGCCAAACTTGTATCTTTCCCAGGCTGCAAACAAGCTTCCTGATGCTGTAAATCGGGACATGTTTGAAGGTCTTTTGGAGCCAGCCTCAGATGGGATTTTTGCCACTTCTGCAAAGATTAATTTTTCAGCTCTGTAGCTTCCCCTGTGGTTTAAACTCAGCAGAGCATTTAGGATTCAAAGTTCTTTCCCTCCATTACTATTCGAGGATGTATGTGTGAGAATGACTTCATCATCAGCATAAAGGCATAGTTTTGCTTTTATATCTTTAGGCAAGTCATTTATAAAAAAGCTGGAAAAAAACCACACTGCTGCAAATGGAAGCCTGCAAAATGCCGTCATATCTGGCACAGCTGTTTATGATCAGAGTGAGTGCAGTTGATTGGTTTGCTCAGCTGCCTGTTGATGTGTCTGCTCGGTGGCTCGGGAAACAGGTCAGCACTGCGCTGAATGGGCTGCATTGCAGTGGGACATTGCCTTTGCTAATATTTGTTTCTGTAGTGCACTTTATTGCATTGCACATTATTTATGGGGAGTTGTTTCACCTCCCAACAGAGCGCCCATGATTCTGTCGACTCCTTTCATCTACTCCATAAGTGCAAAGTTGGAGAGTCCATTAGGCGGCAGCTAATAAGACATTACATGACTATGTGTTCTCTTAATGCATACATGCAAGAGCAGGAAGTCGTATGGGTTTATGACATGGTTACTAATGCGAGCACATGACGAGCGATCGGGTTGCTATAGTAGCTGCTGATGTCCTTCCTTTGTTTTGGCGTTATGAATTTTTCTTGCACTGTAGTCTTTTTTTATTCTGTATCATATCCAAACACACAGAATGTTGGGAGAGAAAAGGCAGTACAACAGTCAGGTGCATATGTGCCATTTTTTGTGTGCATGTTTGTGATGTTGTGTGTTGTGAGTGTGTGAATTCATTAATCAGCCTCATACTGTAACTATCAGGAGTCTGGATCTGATCCAGTTCCCGGGTCTGCTTTATGTGGCCCGATGCTACCTGGATGTATTTGTTTATGTCCACCTATGCACTTACATCTGCAAGATCTAATAAAGACACATGCTGTCACAGCTTGCATACTGACAGTCGCATCCTGTTAGTCCTGCTGCCCGCTGACTGTCGCTGCAGCTTACAAGCTGCCTTCACATTCCTGTTTCACCACCTCAGTGCACAGGAGGTCACTCCAGGTCTCATGAGAAGCTGGCTGTTAGCCAGCTAGCAGGCGTTGTACTCGCGGCAAGCTGCTAACAAAAAACAAACAATAATAAACAACAATGTTCCCTTTAAGTAAATCCCATGGATTCACTTAAGGAACTGTGCCGTGTCTGAAGTACCAAAAAATAGACAATCTAAAAATATCTGCTGCACTAAAAGCAGCCCATCG